GTGTGTGTGTGTGTGTGAGTGTGTGAGTGCACCTCAGGCCATATCGTAGAGTAACACAAGAACCAGACACACACACACACTCTGTGCAGTGACCCTAGCACTGCTGGGTGTGAGCACGTCAACGCTGAGGGTGTAGGTGTAATCTGTAATCAAATTACATTTATATCAAAGTATTTATCTACTATTATTATTATTAGTAATCACAGACCAGACAGTGAAGTCATTTATGGTTATTCAGTTATGAACAAATAAAGTATTAGTTGTTTTCTTTCATGTACTTTATGCGATTGGTCGACCTCAGGTCAGAACATGTGACAGCGTCTCCACAGCACGCTCTCATCCAGCCGCACCACACCGATGTGCTGCAGGGGACAACGCTCTGGTCTAAAACATCTGCTTCACATCTCATTTATTACTTAGAGTCAACAAGAACATGAGGGTGCGCTTCACAAACAACAATCCACTGCTGATGATATGCAAACGTGATGGCCTCTTTTACACAGCATCTATGACGCAGCGACATGCAGCAGACGCCGACACACGATCATGCTCTCAACAGCATCACACATGTTTGCTTGGATATGAGTAAAATTACTGCACAACAACCATTCTTTTGTTAGGTTTTTCAGGCCTGCTGTCAGCATACTGATGAACAGGTACGTCCTCTTTAGGCTGGTGAAAGTGCTCCAGATGATTACTGAAACTACCATCAATACTGGCACTGACAACACCAGCGATGCTGACACACAACAGTTTGTAAAACTCTGTAAAACTGTTTACTGATAATTATACAGACAGGGTCACCGAAAAATACAAAAGTAATGTCCATCCACCCATACATCCATCCATGCATCCATCCATGCATCCATCAATCCATGCATCCATCCATCTATCCATGCATCCATCCATCTATCCATGCATGCATCCATCCATCTATCCATGCATCCATCTATGCATCCATCTATGCATGCATCCATCTATGCATGCATCCATGCATCCATCCATCCATGCATCCACCCATGCATTCACCCATGCATTCACCCATGCATCCATCTATCCATGCATCCATCCATCTATCCATGCATCCATCCATCTATCCATGCATCCATCCATCTATCCATGCATCCATCTATGCATCCATCTATGCATGCATCCATCTATCCATCCATGCATCCATCCACCCATGCATCCATCCATCTATCCATCTATCCATGCATCCATCTATGCATCCATCTATGCATGCATCCATCTATCCATCCATGCGTCCATCCATGCATCCATCCATCCATGCATCCATCCATCCATCTATCCATCCATCCATCACTCTATCCATCCATCCATGCATCCATCCATCTATCCATGCATCCATCCATCCATCCATCCATCTATCCATGCATCCATCCATCCATCCATCCATGCATCCATCCATCCATGTATCCATCCATCCATCCATCCATCCATGCACCCATCCATCCATGCATCCATCCATCCATCCATGCATCATTCCATCCATCCATCCATCCATTTGCTGATTCAAAATTAGTTGCAGGTGTAAATGAGTGCTTGGGTGACGTGTCCAGGATGGGATAGCCTCCAGCTTCCCTGCAAACCCTGAATTGGATAAATGGAATAAAAGTGGATAGATATAATTAATTATTTCTTCTTAATTATGTGATTGTGTAGTTTCTCTATTAAACAGCTGTGCTTGTAATGCCTGTCCCTTGTGAGTAACAATCTGTCATGCACTGATTCTTGAGTGGTGACAAAAAAAGACTGGAATCTGACCTGCAGCTTCCAACAGCAGATATGAAGCATGACAGCAACATGATTAATGAGATGTTAGGTCTACAGTTGCAGCAGTACAT